GTGCAAGATGCAAAATGTGCAAATATAGTATCATTTAGATGTGTGTTCAGTAACTATGTGACTTATATGCACCATATATTATCACTCCTATACTGCTTTGAGATTTCCACATGATATTTCAAAGACTAACTAGTGCTCGTCTCTGTGGAGCAAATATAGTAGCAACATGGTGGCAATGTCAAAGTACCCTTTGAACTCTGTCACTGTTTCCTATAAAATACACCCGGTCATGGCATATAAAGTTTTACGATTCCTTAAAACCACTTTTCTTATTAATTTGACGCACATTGGTGCATGTATTAATAGACATGGGTAAAATATGACCTCTCCTCACAGTTACAGTGTAGTAAAATATAGATGTGTAATTTAAAAACTTTGTAACAGGATGTTCACTTGTATTTGTGTAGTTGTAGAACAACTGTACAAATGGCCTTCTGTTTGTTTGAGGACAAATGCCGACTTTAATGTTGCATTAACAGAGCTTTACTTAGCTTCCCTGTGTGTGTTTGGATGTCAGTGTTAGTGTGGGTGGGCGTGTTAGACTGATGTTTTGGTGTATTAACAGCTCTTCTTCGCTCTGTATTATGTGTGGGTGTTTAAATGTTTGGAAGAATTTCTGTGCATGAGTGTAAGTAGGGTTTTTTTGTGAACACTGACATGCAAGTGTGTGCGTGCCCACAGTCTTCTGCATGCTTGTGTCTGCTGTTTCTCAGTAATTTGTTCACAACTTCATTTAAGTCTCTGTATGAATTCTCAGTCGTGCCTGGATCATGATGCTGTGCTTATGTCCGTGTCCATTGATTGATGTTGATGTTTCCGTCATATTAACAGCTTCTGTAAGTGCTGGGTGTGTTTCGGCACCCTGAGGCCACACTCCCTACTCCATTAGCGCTCACACTAACAACACTAATTAGCTAGCTTCCCTTTGCCCACTCTGGAGGAATCGATAAGTACCTTTCTTTCCGCTTGGCAGTGTGAATCCAAATAACCCCCTTTACACCACCCCGAATTACAATTATCCACAACTTATAGCCTTTAAAACTATACGATTTGTGCAGCAGTGGTCTGTGGAGCTCTTTTTAAGGTTTTAACCTGTAATTATTTTCCTTTGGTGCTGCGAATGCTGGAAGATTTGTTTTGTAAATGGTAGACCATTTGCCATAATTTAAAATGTGTATGTTGTACCACTAAATTTTCTACATTTAATGCTTATTTTTGAAAAAGGAAGGGGCCAAAAAAAAAATCTGACTATTAATAAAAGATTCAAAAAGCACAAACCTAGTTATGCTCCAGTAGTTTCTTGTCTTATTTGGCCCTGTTCCCCAAAAATGATAATGGCATATAATATTAAGACAGCCACGTGAGCCACGTTATCTGCCTGCCACAAACCACCATGAGAACTCCATACATACAGATGTATGTAAGGTGGAGTGTATTTTATATGTTTTAATATATAATAAAAATACTCAAATTTTAGTCGCACTTTCAAATTTCAAGTGCACAATCAACTATTACAATGGAAGATTGCATAGTGATGAGCAAACAGAGAGCACTAAAAACAGAAAAAAAAACACAGTAAAGTAAATGTTACACAAACAGCCACACAAAAATGGGTCAGTTATCAAACAGCAGTTTGAAGGTGGATGTTCACTGTAATAATTGGAACTTGATATTGTTGCCAAATTTAGAAGCAGCGTGAGTCTGACAAAACAACTATTTGTATCCTAATCCCACTTTAACTTGTTTAGTTCTGCACATTTACCGTCCTGATGATGTAGGTTTGTCTGGGATTATAAATATGGCTAGTTGTTGTTAAAGCAACTTTTATCATTTGGCTTCAGTTAAGGTTAGAAGATGAAAATTAAATTATTAGTGTAAATTAATACGACAGCGAGGCAGTCATAGGGCTGCACTAAACAGAATGAAAAAATGAGACAACGAAAGCAAAGAAAGGACTTGGGGTTCTTGAACAATTAATGGGAAATGGAGGAGAAAGAACGACAGGAATGAGAGCTATGGCAGACCATTTTATCCTCGGTAAATCATAATGAAGATGTCTGGCTGTATATTAATACAAGTCACCCACTCGTGGCTTAATGGAAGATACAGTACCTCATTTGTGCATGTGTGTCACATAAAAGAAAAACCTAAATGTCCTGGAAATCCATAGGGCACCAACTACATTACAGTGAGGCCGAATTAAACGGAGACAAAAACATTTCATCTTCATTTTCTTTTATCAGATGTCACCTTGGTGCAGAAGTGGATAACTGTTGTAATAATTTCATTGCAAAAAGGAACATGGCTGTGGGCCAATTCTAAGAGTTGACATTTCACCCTTAAGCCATAAAATATACTAGCAGCTTTTGTAATATGTTAACAAAAGTTACCCAAAAACACTCAATTTCTATTGTTTAGCCAGTTCTGTGTTTCAAAGTCACACGTTTAAGCTACTCAAATATTTACCTTCCTTTGCTTTTCTTAGCCACACATTGCATTTGTTCTTAATTTCTTCTGAAGCTCACTGCATGAGCTATCTTATTCTGTTAGGCTGGAGTATTATAGTCTGACTCACAGACGGGATTCTTCTCATCAAGTTTTTCCTTCCAGATCTTCGAAAAGCAAGAAAGCTGGAATTGCTTTAAGTCTGAATAAACAGTGACATATTAATAATATCACAGGATAATATATCAACAGAAAAGGCACATGATTCCTGAATTTAATAGTCACAGGTAATGTGCTTTGATTTAATTCCAACAGTCATTTATTTAATGAGCAGCCAGGGTTGGTGTATTTTGGAAATAATAGCTAAACAGCAGCATAAAAGCCACAGTATCTAAAAATAATGTGAAATTTAACACAGTGGGGAGTCATAAGCTTACTCTCCTGTCATCTGTCTGTAAAATGAATTGAAGGAGGGGAAAAAATTCCAGATAGGGCAGCTACTGACAGTCAGCAAACATAAATGCCTGAATTTTTATTCTCCTCTTGGGACCAGTTTGACCCTGGAGGTAATCATATTAAATAGACACAGACAATAGCGAGACAAACAGGCTTTATTTCAGGCAGCAGGATCTGACAGCTTGTGTGAACATAATGCTGAGTGTGGTGTACTGCCTGAGTGCGCTGATGTTTGGAAAGTTCTTGAAACCGTGGTCTCGCGCTCCAATAGATCGTCCTTGTAAACAAATAACTGGAGAACTTTAGTTTAGTTGAAGCCACTCCAAAATGACAGTAGGTTTCCTCTCCATTGAAAAAACTTCTCTTCCTTTTAAAACCCAGCAAGATGTCAGTCCTAATAGTGATTACAGTTTATCACAAAAAGGTGTCTTGCCTTATGAAAGCGTATACTTTTAATACTTTTAATCTCATTGTTGATGATGCATGGATATGAAACACAGGGAAATGAATTATATGTAGAGTCGTACTACGTGCTCGTATGTATCCTTTTCTTGTGGTATATATATAGGAACAGGACCAAAAATTTTAAATCTTTACTTTTACATTTATGTTTATATTAATCATTATATCAACCCCAACCCCAATTCTGAGCTTTATCCCATGAAAATCACTAAATACATTTAGTACTCTTGTAGGTGAGATAGGTTTGTTGTTACCGTTGTTTGCAAATGTGTCTTTGCAAAGTTTCTGTCAGAGTACTCTGTGGACTACTTTTTCATATTTAATCCAACAGTCCAGAGTACTTTAAATCCATTCAGTGTGAGACCAGAATTTATGAGTTTTGTTTTAAAAGCAAGAAAACCTCATTCAGATTCACACTGGTTATTAGTTAATACTGCCAAAACTTTCTCAGCACAATGTATGTGCATGTGAATGACAAATCAAAGAGGAAATGTGTTGTTTATGTGTTGCTTTTTAGTCTTTCTGCAGTTTTGTAAGAGTTTTTTTTACATCCTGAGAGCATCACAGAAAACTGAAAAAAAATAAATAAATCATTTTAAAACAAAAACCTTACTGGAAGTTGTAGATAGGGGAGAAACTATTACACACTTTGCTGCACTGGTAAAATAAAATGAGGGCTGGAGAGTTTTTGTTTTGCTTTTTCCACTTTTTTCTCTTCAACCTGTCAAGCATGGAAGCATTGCTTTTCCAGTCACTAAAGCGTCTTGATTTTCTCGTAGGTGTGGCCTGCTGCAGGTAGGAGACCGTCTTCTGTCGATCAATGGAATCCCCACAGAAGACGGAACACTCGAGGAAGCCAATCAGCTCCTCCGAGATGCTGCATTGACCAATAAGGTCACACTGGAAATAGAGTTTGATGTAGCAGGTTTGTAAACTTAGAAAAACGTTTTAGACCTTATACCATGTCATACATGCACCATACATATTCCTTGCTAATTTGTGAAGCCTGAAAAACGTTTTCACAGAATAGAAAGACACCTTTGTGTTCTTTAATAGCTCCCATTTACATATACTCTCATTAAACACATATAATCTCATTTTCACAGACTGGATATACTGGTGAGATTCCTGTGCTGTGAGCTTTTGTGTTACCACAGGCAGGATTAGACAGAATAAATACAGCTCTTCACTGCAGAGCATGGCACCATTGACATGCTGTCAACCCCTGTGGAAAGTATGAAGAGTTCATTCAGGGTCTTTATTTCTGATTTCTCTGTAGAAGAAAAGTCTCAACAGATTCCATTTTGGAAAATGTTAAACTCGGATTAGGAATACATCAATCCAAGATTTTTTTTAAGAATCAAATTACATTAAATAAATACAGTGTAGTGCTTCTTTTGAAGGGAATCTGTTCAGTACTATAATTTCATCATTCTAGTAAGTGAAGGCTGAATGACCTGCTTTCTTTTTTAACTTTGATATAATTATTCAAAAAGTCATTTTTTTTTGTTGTTATTCATAATAATGATTCAAAAGAGACTTGGTAAAAAATACATGTGTAGTATAATGGAATTATACATCCAGTCATCTACTTTTACACCTGTAAGTGTAAAAAGTCCTTGTGAAAAAATGAAGTACTGTGCCGTTTAGGTAGTCAGTGGGAATTTTCAAACAATTTAAGTGTTTGATTGAGGTCTCTGCAGTTATTAATAGTAACTTTTTCAGTCATTGAGTTATATGGCTAGCAGATAATTTGGAGGTAAAGGATGCTCATAACTAACTCTATAAAATAAAAAGAATAAATGTATTAGATCTACTGATAATAACGCTAAATTTGGGTGGTACGTATTCACCCAGTGTTATATTTATATTGGTTTTTGTTTGCTTGACTGTTAGTGTGTTTTCCTTTTTAACTACTTTGAGTAGATCTGTTTGTTGTCTGCTCTCCTGCACAAGCTGTTCAGGAAATTAATTACCTTTTCTTGGTGAGCGAAACAAACTCTAAAGTAAGAAACAGATCCAAGTAGGGAGTCAGAAAGCCTTACGTGGTTGCTGTGCTTACAGTTTTAAAGGTGTTTTACTGGTAGAATTAGTATTTACTCCTGTAAGCAAACAATGAGGATTTACAGTCCCCGTTTGCCATGTAGGAGAGTATTATCTGTTTCTTTTTACATTACTTGTTTCTCTGGTTATGCTTAAGTGTGTGTCTGTGTTTCTGTTGCAGAATCAGTGGTGCCAAGCAGTGGTACTTTCCACGTCAAACTGCCGAAGAAAAGAGGAGTGGAACTGGGGCTCACCATCAGTGGTAGGAACACACACACTTGAAACATTTTTCATGTGATCCACTTTTTGTTTTGAACAGCTGCTGGCAGAATGTTTAAAATTCATTCGACCACCCACATGCATTTTTTATGACAACAAAGTCTACAGAGAAGCTAAGCTATAAATTCCAACAATGTTTATTAAATGCTATAGATATTGTTTGTCTTTCTGGCGCCACTAGCATTACGCTGTGTGTCCAGCATTTTTTCAGTTAGAGCTAAGTCACTTAGTTTCAACTGAGGAAAATCTACACAAAATCTCTACAGTGATGTTTTTGACTAACCTTTGAACTTCACTTCAATGGTCCATTGTGGAGAAGAGACAGTTGAGAGGAAAAGGTATACTTTGGATTCCATCTCCTGTGTCTTCCAACTTCATCTATGATCATGAGCTTTAAGTAGCGAGCAAAAGAAAGAGATCCTAAGTGATCAAAATCAGTTTTCTCCATAGATCTGTTGGTTTCAGACACCACACTGCTATGCAATAACTATGCATGCAATTATCAGATGGACTTCAAAGCAGAATAACATGAATGACTGCTCACCTGTTGTTTGTCTATGTTCACAGCCTAAGACATAGCCCTGCATTAGGGGACAGGTTCCAAAATTTTAAGGCGGGCTCGCAGTAGAACTAGTTCTCCTTTTCATCAAAACATGTCCTCTGAGGTAGTTCGGGGATTCAATAAGGATGCCTCCTGGGTGCCTTCCTTTAGAGATTCTCCAGGCTTGGAGGAGATCCAAGTGTAGACCCAGAACTCACTGGAGAAAATATATATCTCATCTGAGCTGGAGCATCAGGGAATCCCCATGCAGGGAACTGTAAAAGGACGTCTGAATTACTAATTAGCCTGGTGCCGCTGCAATAAAGAAAAGAAATTGAAGCTAAACTTTGTGGCAGCAGTTCGTAGGTTGATGTTAGTTTGAATTCGAGCGCACAAGGTCAGAGTTAATTTTTCTAGTTTTTGTGAAACACATTTCTCAGTATCATTAAATATACTATGAGATGAACAAAAATACTGGCTATGAGCTACCCGCTAACATCAATGGTCAACCTCACTGTGTGTTAAATAAATAGGAGTAAATTTATGTTGCAGAATCCATAGAGCCTTTCCAAAATTGATGTTCAAAAAGAACACATGGGTGCAATGATCAGTGGTCATGTAGTGTATACAGTATAATGTTGCATTAAACATTTGTAATCAAAAATAAAAGCACACACTTGCGCATTTACCCTGCAGACTTGGAATTATTCTGCCAGTCAAAAGTGGTTATTGAGAAAGTAATTCATCACACGCTAACTGTATCTGTAAAGCTTTATAGCACAGTCTTCACTCTTCACTGGGAATGACCTAAATTCAGTGTTTAATTATACCTAGCCTGGAATGTGGGTATATTGTAGTGTTCCACGCTGTATTATTTTAAGAAGCATTATCTCAGTGACAGGCGAAATACTGAACCTGACACATTTTTAAATATTTAAAGAGAAGATAATTGAAGACGTCTTGGCCCCAGCAATTTTGCTGGAGGTTGTGTGGAAGAAAACAAGCAGGCAATGCCTATTTTTTTTTTCTTGTCCACTATGTTGAATTTCTTTAAAGAAAATATACACTTTTTATGTCTAGGATTTTGGCCCTTAACATAATATGTTATATATTTTTTAATGGTGATGTAAATCATTGTCTGTGTTTTGGAGTAAATACTAAATCGAGGTGTGATATCTGGCTCCTAAAGACTGTCTTGACTGCCTGTAAAAATGCTGTCATTAAATCCTCAGAGAAAACCTGCTTTTGTGTATCTTTTTGGCATTGCCAGTTCCACACGCCCCCTTTGTCCACTCAACATGATTGGGGGTGGGGGGGGGATACTGAAGGAGATGCAGCTGTGAATGTACTCACTTTCTTTTAGTCTCTCTTATTTTCTCTCTATCCCTTCTTACATTAGGCATCAATGCTAAAAACCTTGTGTGCACCTTGTGTGTATCTGCACATGCCTACTATGCCTGCCTCTGATGTTTGCTGATACCAAGCGACATTTCATATCCCTGCCACACATTTGCATTTAAAAGTGCTGTATATATATCGTGTAAGAAAAATAGCTGAAGACATAAGCACCGCAGAAACAGTGCAGCTCTCTTAAGTTATTTCTGCAAACCAGTCCTACAGGGTCTAAGCACATAAAAACATTTTTGTCCTTATTTCAACTTTCCTGGCTAAAGAGACAGGATGTTTGAGCTATCATGTAAATCAAATGTCCAAATCAAACCAATTCTCTTACCTCTGGTTATTTTCAGACCTGAAATGTGGGATTTTATTATTTAGGTACTCCCTTGTTCTTCAGTGACATTGTAGTGATGTGTTATAGTTGTAACCATCTAAATAACTAATGATAATAACCTCAAACTAGGTTATATTGTCTCAATTCTGACGTATGGTGTATATAAAATGGTATAAAGCAGGTTGTTCCTTGGCCGCATTTGAGACAAGAGAATGGTGCAATGGTGCCACCTGCTGAACAGAAAATATTCACAGCTAGCAAAGACGTGGAGCTTCTGGGCTCACGCTCAGAGAGCAGGGAACCCAAAATGTTGGCTATTGTGACAAATCTGCGTGCAGGCAATTTGTCCTGATAGGATTAAAGAGGTGATATTAGAAGATGGATGGACGAATATACAACCTTAATGTTACTATTTATATTGAACTGATTATTATTATTATTATTATTATTATTATTATTATTATTATTGCTGTTGTTGTTGTTATTTTTATTTGTTGACTGACATGTTATATTTTGATGTTGTTGCTGCTGTTCCTTTTAAATCTTATTATGGTTTCATCTACCTTAACAGCCAGTAAGAAGCCAGGAGAGCCTCTTATCATTTCTGACATCAAGAAGGGGAGCATGGCTCACAGGTATTTTTTAGAGACTAGTGTTATGTTTCTGCCACCTTAAAAAAAATCTTTTCAATTTCATTTTGTTCTGGGTTCTGTTTGTTTTGTTTTCTCTTTTTGAATTTATATCCATATTATAGTTCACTTTTTCCTTGTGTTTTATGACACTTGTTACAATGTATCACCTTCTGGGCTATTTTGTTTTGTTTTTAATCTTAGAGTAAATTGCACACTAAGAACTAAAGGACACCAGACTTTACTAGTCATGTGTGTTTCTCTTGTTCACAGTAATACACAGTTACAGTGATATGAGCTTTAACATAGACCCCCTTGCCTTAATCCTTTGTGTCCTATATTCAACAACGTGCTGGACACTGGAAGAAATTTTTTTGGTCCATATTAACACGATAGTATCAAATACCTTTCTAACATCAGAAGACGGGTACACTGCAGTCATAAAGAAATAGATCTTATGCTCAGGCTGTGTTGAAACGATGGACATTTAATACTAAAGGGATCATTTTGACTATATTTATATACTTAAATGCACTGTGTTGTTGCCTTGTGGATGGGCTCAGATTTTTGTGTTAATGAGCAGCTGAATAGTGCTCAAAAGTAAGTAATAAGAGTGAGCACTACCACTTTCTAACAATATAAATTATATAGAGGTTTGGAGACTTACATAGCAAGGACCACTAAAACTAGCCAGCTCAACACAGGTTTTTGTTTTTCTGGGTGGCTGGGTTTATGGGTGTTGTATTTATTTTCCAACTAATATATTGAGGAGCAAGCTATGTTATATCATATACTCATAAAGTTACACTTTTTTTAGAATTCCATTGAGCCATTTTAAATTTGAAATTATAGAAATTATTCAACTTAGTAACATAAGTGTTTTTACTTCAGCATTTGATTAATATCTAAGTCTCAAATGCTTTGACTTTTTCTCTCTTTTTTCTTTGTCACTCTCTATTCTTTCACTCTCTCACCACCAGAACAGGAACACTGGAGCCTGGAGATAAGCTGCTGGCTATTGACAACATCAGACTTGAAAACTGTTCCAAAGATGATGCGGAGCAGATCCTCCAGCAGTGTGAGGAACTCGTCAAATTAAAAATACGTAAAGATGAAGACAACTCAGGTACTTTTGTGAATATAGTTGTTTCTATATTTGAGTGACAGAGCTCTGACCTGAGTTAAGCTAATGTTTTAAGTTTTCTTTAGTTTATTATTTCAGTTACCGTCAGAAAAAAAAAAGCTGTACTAATGAAGTTTGACCACAAGGTGGCACTATTGTCCAAAACTCTGGGACACCTACACAACTAAAATGGTCTTCATGTGAAACAATAAAGAATGTATTACAAATTACAACATAAATCCAACATGTTTTTACAATATAGTATAATTTTATATAGAAAAATGTGCAGTGACCTATTATGGGAACTGGAAACAACAAGCAGCAGCCTAGAGTCCTAATCCATCTAAGGACGTTTGTGCATGGTCGCATATTCACATTTTAACAGTCTTACAGCTTACACCTTGTATTTGTGTATACACATAAACACATTCAAGTTATATAATGTGACGTAAACACACACACACACACAAACTAAGTTAGGGACTGTGTAATGAGGGTAAATAATGAGACTGTAGTCATCAGGCACAAACACACACAAGGAGGAAATAACATGTGTGCATGCTATATGATGACAAGGCAGTCTTTTCCTTGGTTACCATGGAAACTGTGTCTTGCCCACCAGTGTAGTCTCAAGAAGCGTTTTGACCTACTTCTGGAATCAAGTGTGTTTGTGTGTGTGCGCATTTCCAGTGAGCAGGTAATGTGATCCAGTATTACTTAGTGACCTGAAGTGTTTTGTGTGCGTGTGCATCAGATAAGAAGCATCCATCAGACGGTATAATGTACTCCTCAGACTTGAAACACTAGATTAATGTGTGTGACTGCGTGTATGTGTGTTTGTGTGTATCAGATGAGCAGGAGACATCAGGCAGCATCATATACACAGTGGAACTGAAGCGGTACGGAGGCCCTCTGGGTATCACCATCTCTGGCACTGAGGAGCCGTTTGATCCCATCACTATATCAGGCCTAACTAAGAGAGGCCTTGCAGAAAGGTACATACTCAGACACACAAAATCTCTTCTGGGAATTCTAGGTTGCCACTTTGTAGCTCTAAATGAAATTCCCTAGATTTCTGGATAGAGCATTTTTGTATAAATCCAAAGCTGATGAATTGAAAATGAATTGAATATCTCACTATGTCTGTCATGTTTTACATGTCTGTGTTGCTCTGTAACTAAAAAAACAACAGTACCAGCCAAGCATGGAAGATTGCGTTATTTTACATTAACCAAATGTAGTTATTTTCACAAAAAAAGCAACTCCAAAAGAGAGGTGACTCATGCTCCATGGCTGCAGAATTTTGGAGTTTGAGGTGATGACCCAAATGCAGACAGAACGAGGCGTGAAATGGGAATTAACCAAAAGCGAGTCAATTTATTGACTGGCAAGGGTACAAAAACAAAGGCAAAGGAAACCATAAACTCTAACTGAACTAGAAAAAGACAAGAGAAACATGGAAATAAGAAACGTGGAAATCCTGAGATCTGGAATACATAAGATTAAACAGACAATCCGACAAGGGACAAAGGAAAACTGACATAAAGTGTACACACGGGGATAATTAGGGAGAAGGAAACACATGGGAACACAGCTGGGATGAATAAACATAACAACACAAGGGAAGCAAAACTAAACACACTGAACACGGGACAAGAGACTGTCAAAATAAACAGGAAGCCGACACGGAAACGGGGATAAACAAACAGGGGGACGAACGACCCTGACACGACTAAGACACACAGAGGACGAGGGAGCGAGAGGGATGAAACACAAGGAGAGGAACATGGGGACAATGAATGGAGATGAGACATTACAGAGATACAGACATGACCGAGGAAACATACACAGAGGACATGACAAACTCTCATAGGAGACACAGGGATGCGATGCACCCTATGCACACATGTCCACTGGCAGATAACAGGATACTGTGTTAGCATAAGGCGACCACATACAATTAAAGCTCACTGCATAGCATATTGCTAACAAGCAGAACAATTACTGTTGTCGAAGTATATGTCAGTATATGTCAGTGTGACATGTATTTACATTTCTGCAATGGTTAATATCAACTGTGTCACATCAACACAGAATTGAATACATCAGTTGCCAAGCCACCAGTCATTGGTCCGAGCCAGTTAGATAAAAACCAAATAATCAGTGCATCTCCAACTTTCATGTGTTGATATTTTTGTCTCTGCTACAACCAAGCCTATATTCCTTCCTTCCATCCATCCATTTACCAGATTCTACACCAGAAGTTGAGTGTCCAGCAAGTGCCATTTGACACAGAGTAATGACAGATGTGATATTCTGAAACACGAGATGGTAGCTAGTGTCCAAAGCAAGACTGAGAGAAAGATGACATAATGTTTTCCCTTAGTCATAAACATCCATTGGTAAATTCAGCTTACATCCACTCCACCACACAGCACCTTCAGCTTTTATAACAGGCTCACGTGTTATTCCATCAAACTACGCTCACAGAGGCAACATACTACTTTCCCACGTCCAAATACACACACACACTGTGACCCTATTTCTCTGAGTCTGTGATGTAATTGCTCTATTTCCCATTCTAAACTGTTGTCGATAAAGCACTCAGACCTGTTGGCTAAAAGCACTCTAAAAATAAACTTGGTGCAACTTGATACAGATGAAAGTGCAGGAATACAAATGATAACCACAGTGCTACATCTTACACCGACCCACTTTTTCTCCTTTTCTTTTCTTCTTTTCGGTCAAGTGATTTAATTTTGTTTAACCACCAAAGGGCGTAAGAACCAGGCACAAACTAGGACCATTATAACTTAGGTCTACCTTATCCGTGTGTACATACTGTTCACCAAGAAAGAAAATGCATTCTTCCATATATTATTGTTTTTTAGTGGCACATGATTTTCTGAAAGTAGCACTAAGTTCAACTTTTTGGCAGTCCTCTTTCTACAAGCCATCTACAGTGCTTTAAAAAAAATGTAATTAATTTTTGCATATTTATATTTATAGCACATATTTCACCATCTTACGTTTACCAGTGAACCTAAATCTGAATCTAAATGATTCAGAGAAGACTTGGGAGAAGGTTATTTGGTAAGACAAAACCAAAATCAAGCTCTTTGGCATCAACTTTGAAGGAGTGCTTAGTATGAGCACAAGAACACCATCCCTACATCCTTAACCCTTAAGAGCCCAGACCTATTTCTACTTTCATGAAAATTACGGGGGTCTTATATCAAATGAATCATATATAACCAAGTCTCTAAGTGTAAAGGGGCAGTGACACCAGTGTCACTGTGGGTCCTTAAGGGTTAAAAAACCTTATATGCTATGCTAGGCTTTCTCAAAAAGTGTTTAACATATATGTTTAGTATATGCTTTCATAAGCCTGTGTGTGAGACCTCAAAATGAATAATATCTTCCGCAAATTAGGTTGGAATATAAAAGACAGTTTTTCCTTTCTTATAGGGCTTTACAAGAAAGTGAAAGTTTTAATGATATTCAAGGGAGGCAGTGTTATTCTTTTCACCTTGTTCTGACCTTAGTCCAGTCATATGGCGGTTAATCTTAGTTTTCCCTTACTTTATCTTATCTTAGTTTTGTATGAACACAAAAGATTAAGATCTTATCTATAGAAACTCTGTATCACTGTAGTAACACTGTATCACTGCAGACCATTGTTATATATTTTTTTCTATCCAATCATGTGCCCTACAGTAGTTTGAAAACCATGGCGCCAAGGTAAATACATTTTTTTTTCTTTTTCTCTAGCTTTAATTGCTTGTTCTTATCTAAGTATAAAATGATAAAATACAGGTCAGAAAGCCTTCCTAAAATATGAATGTGGCCATGAGCAATACCACTGTGGTGCAGCCCCAGTGTCACTATCCAGTCGCCTGCCCTCTGTTAGATTATAATTGTCTCATACTGAGATTCACCAGTCAGCCTCGTATATGTCCAATTTAAAACTAATCCATTTCACACACTTTCCACAACACCACAGGCAAATAGTCACAGCCACACTAATAGCCATATGCTAACATGTAGTTAGCTTGGAATCTCTTCGCTGTGAGTGAAGACACAAAGGTTCTCCAAAGAAAACCACAGGGGGAAAAACACGCACACAAAAAAATTGTAACAACAAATCTAGTCAGACACTTAAATCATCTTCACCCAGTTGAATATGGACATGTTAAAGAAGCTAACACAGGACAAGTGTCTTGCTTCTATATTAGCAAAGCAGTTATGAGGAAAATTATAGAGATAACTGGAAAAGCAAAAATGGGTGTGTGTCCTGATAAGATTGATTTTTGTTTGTACATGCTGTCAGTTAATTTTTTTAGAAAATCAGAATTGGCAAAAATCTGTATTAGTTATAAAAAAATTGTAATTAAAAATAAACCAGTAGCAAAAATATTTGTAAACACTGCAGCTGCTTTTTTGTACATTGATCTTTGATTTTGTAGGAAATTAGAAGTTTTGATATTATGTGTATTTTGCAGTATTATTTAAAAATACTAACATGGTGCACTAGAGGTCAAAATATGTTTTCACAAATAACTTTTTTGATAGATATTTAATAGTTTAATGCTATTCAGACCCCTCTAGAGTCCTTTTTTAGGCTTATTAACAATCTTCTTGTATAATGATATGTGTGAGGTTTAACATTTTTTACTTTTCCTGTGTGGGAATAATACAAATTTCTACTTCTGTACCTTTGTGTATCTCGTTACCTATGTAGGACAGGGGCTATACATGTAGGTGATCGGATCTTGGCTATCAACAGTGTCAGCCTGAAAGGGAAGCCGCTGAGCGAAGCCATCCACTTGCTGCAGATGGCTGGAGAGACGGTCACTCTCAAAATAAAAAAACAGCTTGACAGTAAGTATAAAAACTAGTAACAGTAACATGCATTTTAAATCTGTCTTTTGTGTGCAGTGTTGGCTAACGTGTTACCGTTGCCACATTACATTTTTCAGTACCGCCGTAATGTAACACGTTACTGTGCTAAATCACAGTTACAAATAAGGTGTTACTTGCATTACAAAGGTTCTTCCGTTATCTGCACACCAGGTGAATAGAACAAAAACCTTGCGTAGAATCAGATGGTTTCAGTTCCTGTGCAGAAGGTAAAAAAATAGGATAGTAATACAGCAATACAGCTTTTGCGGGGCGGAGATATGGAAACCCTGTTGTTTAAAACATGCATACAATATTTGTACTGTATAAGTGGTATGCAACAGGTTAGCTGTTTGCAGCTCACATCCTAATAGATCTGATTTAAAACCTGTTTATAGGTAAATGCAGAGAAGAGGTCAGTAGGTTAACCAGTTCAAGTTTCATTTTGTCTCTTATAAGCATTTAATGTTGAAAAATATACATGTAGTAAAAGTTTCACGTATGTATTTTACCAAGTTAATAATTAGAGTTAACCTTTAAATTAAATTGGCCTCTTTTTTTTTCTTCAAGACATAGAAGACAGGAAGACAGCAGATGTAGAGGACACAACAGAAAACGAGATCAGTGACCCTGAGGAGGACGATTTGACAGACAGCCAACAAACCAACAAGCTATCAGAGCTCTACTCCACAACAATACCCAGTGTTGACTCTGCTATGGAGTCATGGGATGGCTCAGGGCTGGATGCAGGCTATGGGAGCCAGGGTAAGCTACATTTGAGCATGTGTAGAAAGTGAAATGTCAGGATGTCTTAACCCTGTAGGAAATATGTTAATGAAAACCACTTACCAAAGAAGGAATATATTAAAAGCACTCTTTCTTGTATTTGGTCATTTGATCTGTCCTCTTGTAGGTACATACACCCATCAAGCAGCTGGTATCGCTCTACACCCGCATGAGTGGCGTAGTGCCAAGCAGCAACGAAGTACCACGCCTCCTCCTGGACGTCGGAAGAACTACCCGTTTAGTGACGGAGGCTTCAGTGAGGATGACTGGGACAAACCACCAGGGTAGGTCTGAATTTAGATTTAGTTACAAAGCTATTTGTTGTGACTGTCTTTTATTTGTGTATCATACACTTTTCTTTTGATATCACCTTTTTTATTTATAAAAATCCATATAAATGTTTTATGTTTTATAAACACACACTCACTTTTGTGAGTGTGTGTTTTTTATCCCTCAGCAGTAAAAAGAAATGATGGGGTGACCTTGACCTCAAGGTCAAGGTGATCTGACCTTGACCTCAAGGTTTTCTCAAAAAATATGATATATACCATGGGTGCATCTACTAGGAGGCTGAGGGGTAGCACAGGTAGCCACCAGTACTTTTATTTGTATCTATTTATAGTATTTCTAATAAAAATAATAGTTTAGAAAAACAAAACAAACATGAATAATATGTTTTTATTAATCTGTTGATGAGCTTCCCGATGAGCACAACGCAGCCATCATAGAGGTTGCTTTAACTGTTAAGTGATATTTTAATTAATGCTGCTTAATGCACTTTTTTTGTTACTTTTACACTTCAAAGCAAACAATAGTGTGCTAGTGTTGGTGATGTAGTTTATAGTCTGTTAATCATTAGTTACAGGTAGCTGTAAAGTTTTACATTTCATTTATATTTGTTAATGTTAAAATGTTTCGTTTACATTTAACCCTGCTTTATTTTAGAGTGAAATTAATTCTAAGTAAATGAAATACATTGTAAATGTTGGGTTTTTTTTATTCATCTGTACAAAGAGCCACAATTTCAGAACTTAGGGGCTTATTTAATAGGTTAGTTATCTGTTTAAGTGTATATTACATTATCAAAGGTTTAAATTAAGGGTTGTTTACCTTGGACTGCTCAATGGTGACATAGATAATAGTTTCTATGGTTCATCAACACTATCTTTTGTCCTGTCTTCCTCTTCTCATACCCAACCGATTATGACAGATGGCTGTGCTTCCCTGGTTCTGCCAGAGGTTTTTTCCTCCCAGTGATGCCAAGTGCTTGCTCATAGGGATAATCAGATTACTCGGGTTTTCTTTGTTTCATTGTAGGGTTTTTACCTGACAATATAAAGCTCCTTGGAGTGATTGGTTTTGTGATGTCAGTTCTATATTAATTATTATATTGTGGAATGAATAGGCATCGCAGCTCAGACAGGCTCCTTCACCTTTAGTCCCTGGCCTTTGACACAGTGTGAAATTGACTGTGATTTCTATCTACTTTTTATATACTCTAAAGCTGTTTTGTTTTCTGTATCTTTTACCCTTTGGCCCGTGTTTGTCTTTTATGTTTGGTGTTATTGAACAGCAATTTGGTCAGCCCTGCTGATGTTTCTAAAGCTGTTTTATGAATAAAGTGCTATGGTATGGTGTGGAATGGTATGATATATTTCACCACTATAGATCTTCAAAATGCATGAGCTTATTTTCTGCAAGAAAGGATTTTATCTTTAACACTGTTTCACTGTGCCAGTATCATCACCAAGAGCTCATGGCGAAGGGTACACCTCATTGCAGAGATTGAGTCATGAAGTCAGTGCTACTGTGAATATGTTGTACCTGTGTCTTTGTGTATCTCTGTGTAAAGCTGTGATGAGTCAGAAGGCTAAGGCTAGTCAGCATGTTAAAGTTACATAACACTTCTGAGGGTGTACAGCGAGAGAAAGGGATTTTCGAGGAAAAAAACAAAAATCAGTAAAACAATGAAAGTGAATTAATCGTGTTATTTGGGGACATTCTGGGTTAAAGGATTACTTTTGTTCGGTTTAACCATGACAGATACAGACAGTGTGTGTACAGATTCTGTGTCCTTAATGCCTTTTTGTAAGTGAAAGTTCCAGTGCTAAATCAGGCACACTGCATGTCATGTAGCCAACTATTCTCTGCACTTTAGATAAATAAATATTATAATTATAATAATTATAATTATAATAATAAAATATTTAAGAGAAAAATAAATTTTGCACAATACACAAAGTGTGATCAAAAGGCAGTTCCATGAAGGTAAAGCTTAAATATGTTTGTCTTGCTTTGCATGGTTTTCCCCTTTTGTAGTACTCAGCAACAGAGAAAATCCAGCGAAATGGGTGTGGAAACTTGTTTTATTCGTGTGTCTGTTTTTGTGTGGCAGATTTATTGGCCAGCAACCGGATGGCATTCTATTGGATCCAGAAGATAGTTTCTGGTGTCAAGCTCTGGAGGACCTGGAGACCTGTGGCCAGTCAGAACTACTAAGAGAAATAGAGGTTAGTTAGTATTTTTCACAACTGTTTGACTTCAAGTGTAAAATTGGCATCAAAGATGAATACTGGACTTAATCAGCATACAGTGCTCACCGAAGTGGATTTGCACTTGAGTCAAAGGGTTTTAACAACAGTTTTGTCGTAGGTTTTTATGAACCCTCATATTTTAATGGTTGTAAACATCATGTTTAATCTGCGGTTTATTTTAATGTACAGCGTGTTTAGTATGTTTGCATTCTTTTATTTGCCTGATGCTGTAGAACATGGATATCTGCTCATACAGTATCTGTATATACACTTCATAGCTAATTTGTCTTTTATACTGAAGAGCAGCATGTAAAGACTAAAGCAAGGCTTTAGTGGATATGATTGCAGGCATTTTAGTTCTGCTACGTATAACCCCTCAACATAGCATTATAAATCCACCTTTATGTACACTCATTGATGTAATAGCAAATCAAATCAAATCACTTTTATCGTCACATGACTTATACAGGTACACTGGTACAGCACATGCGAGTCCTTGAACTTGCAAATTCTTGTGTGCAAGCTTCACAAGCAACAGAGGTGTGCGAAATACAATAACATAAGAACAAGCACAATATAAGAACGGGAATCTGAGAATTATAAGAATAAATATATGTACAAATATAAGAATGTATGCGCATTACTGAATATGATACTAAATATGCATATATACATATCTGTGTGTGTCTGTGTGTGTGTATACATATGTATAAAATTATCCATCCATCAATTCGCTTCCGCTTATCCTTTTAAAGGGTCGCGGGGGGCGCTGGAGCCTATCCCAGCTGTCATAGGGCGAGAGGTGGGGTACACAGGGCTAATACACAGAGACAGACAACCATTCGCGCTCACATTCACACGCACCTATGTAGCAATTTGGATTAATCAATTAACCTATCCCCACAAAATTGCATGTCTTTGGACAGTGGGAGGAAGCTGGAGTACCCGGAAGTAACCCACGCAAACACGGGGAGAACATGCAAACTCCACACAGAAAGACCCCGGCCTGATGGTGGAATTGAAATCAGGACCACCTTGCTGTGCGGCAACAGTGCTAACCACCGTGCCACCGTGCTGCCATGTATAAAATGGCAATGGTATTTAATGTATAAAATGAAATAAGATCAAATATACAGAGGTCAGCAGTTGGATATTGTGCAAAACAAGTGGCATTTATGCACAATATGGAGTGCATAATGTTGAAGTTCCGGTAAGTGAAGGTGAGGTGTCTATGAAGTGTTCAGCAGTCTGATGGCCTGATGGAAAAAGCTGTCTCTCAATCTGCTGGTTCGGGACCGGATACTGCAGTATCTCCTGCCTGATGGAAGTAGTCCGATCAGTTTATGGCTTGGGTGGCTGGATTTTTTGATGATCTTCCCGACTTTCCTCAGGCACTGCTTCCTGCAGATGTCCTGGAGGGAGGGAAGCTCAGCTCCAATTATCCTTATGGCACACTGCACCACTCTCCGGAGAGCTTTTATTTGTACTAACCATGTGAGATCCTCCACCAGATGTACACCTAGGAAACGGAAGCTGCTCACTCACTCCACAGCAGCTCCGTTGATGGTGATGGGGGTGTGTGCTTCTCTGCACCTCCTGAAGTCCACTATCAACTCCTTTGTCTTTGCAACGTTGAGGGTGAGATGGTTGTCTCGGCACCAGTGGGTCAGGGCGCTGACCTTCTCCCTGTAAGCCGTCTCATCACCTTTGGTGATAAGACCCACCACTGTAGTGTCGTCCGCATACTTCAAAATGATGTTGGAGTTGCTAGTGGCCGTGCAGTCGTAGGTGTAGAGTGAGTACAGGAGAGGCCTCAGTACACACCCCTGTGGAGCACCAGTGTTCATTATGACGGAGGATGAGGTGATGCTGCCCAGTCTGACCAATAATATTTAAACCAGTAACAAATTGTGCTGAACGTATGAATGTTTGTCAAACAATCACATTGGCAAGCACTCAATGTCTCCAAATGGTTGGTTACAAGGCGGTAACTCAACTTGCTTCAATTTGTTGCAGGCATCCATCATGACAGGCACAGCCATCAGTCTTGGTGTAGATGGTGTCAACAAGCCTCCATCTGAGCCCATACTGACCCACAGCAGGATGAGCCCATTGCGGCGGAATTCTCTCCTGCATCAAGCCAACTTGCACCACCAGGGAACACACCTCCATCAGGGTGCCCATCTTCACGAGGAAGCCCACCTTCATGAAGAGGCTCAACTTCACCAAGGTTAGTCACTGATATGACAGAACCAAGGGTGGTTGTTTCCAAATTTTAAACAGAAAAATATAGTAAAGTATCATTTTACATATCATTTTATACCATGCATAGAAGGATTACTTGTTAAACAGTTGGTGGAAAACACTTACTTGCAATATGTTTGCCACTCAGACCCCCATCTGCACGAGGAGGCCCATTTCAACCAGGAATTGCACCTACAACAAGGGGTCCACATTCACCAAGATATCCAATCCCCTCTCCTGCACCACGAGCCCAAGTCAAAGGCCTCACTGAGAGTATCAGAGAGGACATGGGAGTCCCGTCGGATCAAAGAAGAGATGCAGGGTATTCTGTCACCAACACCACTAGAGCTTCACAAAGTGAGTTCAGAGAGAACTGGACAAAATATGTTTTTTGATGTGGGTTAGGATGAAATATTGAGAATATTAGGTAAACTTGCAGTAGATAATTAGAATTCAACCAAAAATATCAATGTAACCATTCAAGCTGACATTGCTGTTAAACTTTGTAAGCATTGGTATCTGCTCCAAACTTTAAAGTACACATTTTGACTTGACATGTCAAACACTGTCATTACTAATAACTTTAATAATATCCCCCTTCTAGCTAGCATGCATAGTGAGTTCTAGTTTACTCTTATGAGGTTTGAAATGTTCTTTTTTACAGTGCAGAGTATTATGTAATACAGTATAAATACCCAGCCTCCCTGGGCAACTGTTATGCAAGTGACTACATGTAGTTCAGCCTTCCATTAATTTACAGTCACAATTTGAGGAGACGAGGGCCGAGTGAAACATGTACAGCTCAGAGCCAGAATGAGAAATACATGTTTTATCCATAGAGAGAAAATACATCACAGTGAACAACTGTTACAGCCTTAAGTCGTGCCTCGTTAATCGATCATACAACATTTCAGATGAATGTCATAATGCTGCTGCCTTTTTGGGTTTTTTTGGTACCAAAAGGTACAGCAAACAATCTGGATTGCATTACCAATAATAAAGACCTTATCTTACAGTTGTCCATTATATTATATGGCTTTGTCCATTTATTCGGCTTTTGGTTCCTGCTTTGTGGCACATGGCAGTTCACTGAAGAAAGACGTCTATTATCAGCACAATTGTCATTATTGTTTTTCCATTTATTCTTTAGGACCTTGCATTACAAATAAACTTTCAGCTGAGAATACACACCCAGAAAGCAATCAGGTTAAAATTTTTACATGGTAAAATATTTATTTGGATCAGTTTACAAAATAGTTTATTCCACCCTAAAGTAAGCTGAAATGTCAGTTTGTGTGCATTTATTCTGGCCGTCCTGTTTAATGAGCATGTTTATTCTGCTTGGGATCTTAAACCAGTTAGAATTGGATCTGGATATCAGGCTAAAAATCTGTTTATTTTATCATCTGATGTTGGTTTGGTTTTAATCTGCATACAAAACTTTTAATTTAGACAAATTTTTGTACTTTGATTAAATAAATTTGAATATGTTAATTTATCAGTGACATTTCTTTGTCTGAATTTCATGTGTTGCGCAGCTTTCTTTATGTTTGTGTGCAGTTATCATGGTTACAAGTGTTATTCCCATCTACAGAGAAACTTATTGTTCCTGCAGTGACACAACAGATATTTTGAGACAGTTTCATCAGACGGGTTCACATGTGAATAGTCTTTTTGTTCTGTTGTCTTGATTAGGAGCACAAGATACTAGCAAATTACATTTTATTACTCAACCTCACATCCTTGTGTTCTGTCACTAGGTAACAGTGATAAAGGACCCAGAGAGTGATGACTTTGGCTTTAGCGTATCAGATGGTTTCTTGGAAAAAGGTGTTTATGTCAACATGATCAGACCTGATGGCCCTGCTGACAGAGCCGGGCTTAGACCCTATGACAGGATCCTGCAGGTGATGATGATGATAATAATTAGTGTACTGCCCATCATTGCATCCCTAATTCTAATATAGTTTTTTGTTGTGAAGAAAAAAAAAGCTCACTCTGTCCTCAGCATTCTTTGCATCATATTTCGTTATGTTATGTTATGTGAAGATAACTATGTTATGTAGTTATCTTCACGTCCCCCTCTTTTTTGTTTGCTAAATTAAAAATGTCTACAGTTATACAAATTACCAAAGTAACCATTGGCTTAATCTTTTTGACTGTATTCAGGTGAACCATGTAAGGACGAGAGACTTTGACTGTTGTCTGGCCGTACCTCTCATCACAGAAGCAGGAGACAGACTTGAACTGGTCATCAGCCGCAACCCACTTGCCAATGATGACCCAGAGGACAATAACAACACTTTAGACCACGCACTTGATCTGTAACACAAATACATACACGTGCACAAAACATACAGAAGACATATTGTAACTGGTGATGAAGCATAAACTTATACATAGTGGAACTGGCCCAAAAACGCAGACACACACTCACTCACACACACACTCCACCGGCTTGCAGTATATCTGTTTAAATACAGAGACTCCTACTGGAACACACATCCTAACACTTGCATGCTCACACAGTCTCCCCATCCCATTTACAATGGGTTGAACTGCTTTTATACAGTACGGTCTGTATGAAAGCATCACCACAATACAGAAAAACACACCAAAAGCTCTCCCGATAACTGGCTGGACTCACAGTGTTGTTTCGATTTCAACAATGACTTACTCGGCACTTTAAATAGCCATTTTTACTCATTTTAACCTGCAATACGGGTAAGATTATTTCAGTTTTTATTGCAAGGCCATATGCTCCCATGAATCTACAGTACTTGCACCTGAGAGATCTGCCTTATACAATATTGTAAGTGATTTTACCAGAGAAAAATTCTCAGTTTCGAGTTTCCATTTGTTTCACGGAAGGTTACTAACAGAAAACGGAACAAACAGTTCATAATGGGAGTGTGTCTATAATAAATGTAGCCATTGTAGAATTTCATAATGCTGCTAAGATTCTGCTCAAACACTGCTGCTCACTTGACATTACCAAGAAAAAAACAAAATTCTGGAGTGATCAAGTATAGCTCTTTTTTTCAAGGCAGACTTCTCTATTGGATCTTACTGCACATTATAATGTCACTTTGGTGACATCACAACGTTGATTTATGAAGATGTCATTAGTGATGCCATCACAACTGCCAAACTGTTATTTTGTTTCATGCTATCATAAAATGAAAGTGAAAGGAGGGAAGGGTGTAATTTCTGCTCCCAATGAAAAATGGTGTCTTAAGTGGAATTGACCAATCACGGCTTTTGCTACACCATAAATGAGCAGATGACATGTGGCTGTGCCCCAGAACAAACTGTACTGCCAAACGAAGAACATCTACCTGCATTTGAAATGTGCCAAATGTCATGACATTATCCACTATATCAATAGCTGTCTGAGATCACTGGGTTCACCTCATCATATTTCATTGCAAGACTACAATGTCAAGCAACAGTAGCATTTCAAATTCATTTCAAATCGCTAAATTATTAGATTTGAGGTTCAGAGTGATTTAATGTAACATTATTGAAGAGTCTCATTGTCATGGATCATTTATGCTGTTGTATAGATGTTAAGGTAGTGGGAACAACAAGCAACAAGTCATAAAGAAGTAACATTCTCTTTGTTGTGGCTTTTAATTTAACAGCCTTTTAAACTAGGACACACAGTTCATTCAAGTAATAGCTATAGAACACTACTGCTGTTTGGATTTATTGGTAACACTCACCCTTTTGCACAAAGATTATGAACAAAGTCAATAGCATCATCTGCTATCAGACCTACTACACTAGGTTGCTGGTGAAGCCAGACTATGGACAAATTTCCGACACACACATTTCTTACACAAAAGGCTCTGATAACAAAGGAAATGAAACCGTGGTGTGTGTGTGTTATGCATTTATTATCAAGCCATTTTGTTGTGTCTTTCATGGATGTCTGTTTATGATGTGTAATTTGTATGTGAGTGTATCAGCAGGTTCTATTCTAAGGTGCAATTGGAAATTTCCAGAGTTCGGCCTGAGTTAAACTGAGCCACTATCCTTTAATGGTCAGCACCCTTTGAAGCACTGTGAGCATTCCTGACTACTTGTGTGTGCTCATTTGCAATTTCACCGTGGATCCAAGATTTAACTGAGAACAAACATTAGTTTGAACAGAGTTTGTGCCAAATGTTTTGTCAAGGATTGAGAGCTGGTTTTCCCACTATTAACCTTCACCACAACATTAAGTGTTGTGGTTTCCTTGACTGACAGCTCATTAGTGCAAGATTCTAATCAGTTCACATAATGCTGACTATTGGGAAAATAGTAAACTATTCTCTTCTTCCTAAAGCCTCCCCTGCTAATATTTATTAGCAACCTTGTCACATCTTACAGATCCCTTCTTGAACTAAACCTGATCTTAGTTGTGCAATAGTTTTAAAGCCCTAAGTATATTTCTACTTCTATTGCTAAGGGAATGTTAATTTCTAATTCAAGAGACAGCCAACTACAACCTTACACTTGCAATGTGGTTAGACACACAATCTGTATTTTTACACCAATGATGCCTCATTAATGAATGAGGCTACAGTGTCCAAGGCCAAAGGCAGTACATCAGGTCAGAAGCACAACAAGTAGCATTTTATTTTAAGTTTGGAGTGGTGCCCCATGAATATTTAACACAGCTAGTCCTAGCTGTAGCATCATCTTGTACAGCTGCAATTTATTTATCTATTTGATTTATTCTTCTTTGTGTCAACATAAGCTGTCACTCATCAGCCATCATACTAACCTGTTTTGGGTTTGACTTTCCCTAAAACTAAATTTCAGGATGGTTGATTTTATAATCAAGGGCACTGTGCATCCGACTAACAATAGTCAGAATGCTCAAAGTAGCTGGAGCACTGAAATATCCTTCACACAGAAACTTTAGAACTTACAAGTCTTCAAGTTTCAAGTTTTGCAACCCCAGACATTAATTCCATTTCCTTCAGACCCCTGATTTCTCATGATTTTTTCTTATTCCTGCCAAAAATGTATTTGCTCTAATTATCTTTGGATTAACTGAAATTGGGCTGGCTCTTGTTCCCTCCTACTGATCTTGGCAGTTTATGAATGTGCTGTGCAAAAGTAGGTGCTTAAATTCTACAAAGTAGCAGTTAACTTAAATAAATTGCAGTAAACAGAATAAAACTAAAAACAGCACCAATCTTTTACACTTTAAGCTAACTGGCATCATCCAAATATTTCTAAGAACTTACCACAGTTCACTTCTTTGTCTTCTTTAATCCTATTGATAGACATGATGAAGCCATACAATTTCAAAGAAACTGCTCATCTATGTATGGGTTGCTGTTAGTTAACATTTAAATACTTATTGCAGTATTTTATAAATGCGCAAGTTGCAAGATAAAGGTTTTGTCCTTTTTGAGGAAAAAAATAAATCTAAACATCCTTTGCACACTTGTGTGTGTACACATATTAGCATGAATTATGGTGAACAAAAATATATGGAGTATATGATGGATACATTGTCAGTATAAGGATATTATTATGAGTGAGTAATAGAACAGCATTTGTTCTCGACAAGACTGACAAAAAAAACCTAAACTTTGAGAGTCAAAACCCCTGTTCCTACCATTTTCTTATGTTGTTATGTAACAGAATTCAGCGGCACCCTATAAGAATTTCCATGTCTGTATGGGTGTGAATAACAAAACATATGTGAATATGACTACAGAAGACTTCTATTTGTCAACGTTTCTCTGTCTAATACATGTATGTGCAAAAAATGTCCACTACTTCTGGGCATACACTGTTTCAGAGGTGTGTGTGTGTTTGTGTGTATGTGTCTGTGTGTGTGTGTGTGTGTAAATTAATTTGTGTACATTTCATTGTACAGTAGTGAGGTTTTAAAGGATTGTGGGCCTTTATATTTTTATTTCCAAAAACCGGAAAAGGCTTAAAATAGTGTAAACACACACACATACAAAAAAGGGACATTTACTTCTCTCCAAGCACTTACTGCTGAATATAAAGCACACTGTTGAATACCATGCACTGTAAGTATTTTCATGTACAATGGAACAAACTTTTGTAAAGCAACAAAAAAAATGAAAATGCTGAGAAAAGCCTTCTGAATTGTTTTTTTGTTTGTTTGTTTGTGTTTTTTCTTTTATGTATGTATGTGGCCATGTATACTCCCTATGCATTTTTGGGTCAAATGTCAGTTTAAAGCCCAATCCAGAACTATAACAACTGTTACGCGCGGATAAGTTTATAATACAAAAAATGTTATTTAATTCCCTGTGCTTTTTCGATTTTGGGGAAAATAAAAATGTTCATGTGAAGATTTAATGGTAATGTACCACATTTTATTAGACTAGCTTGTTGGCATTACTCCCCTGAACCCATTAAATGATTTCAGTACATTAGATAAGTTATTACATAATCCACCATATATTACATCATCAGCTAAAGTAAAGCCCTTTCACATGCCCACGCCTGCTCGGTCACTCACAAATATACCATGTAAACATGGTTAATCTTGTCGTACAGCTTAAATAAAGGGCGATTCTGACCAGAGGATGCTAGTTCATAGCTATTGAGCAGTAAGGAAAGCCAAACTAGGTAAATGTTACTGGGTAATTACTTTATGCTTCTATAAAAAGTTCCTGTAGGGGAGAGAGCACATGTTGCTTTTTCTACCGCACGAGTTGTCAATGTGCAACGCAAGCCAGTCATGTACTCATGATTTTGGTTGGGAGACTACAGTCAAATATTTGTGTTACATTACACCTTTCTATTAGCCGTGTCTGTAGCCAGGACAATCTTTTGGCTCTTTATTTTTATTTTTGGTGTGCATTTTGTTTTGTTTTTTAACATGCAGTGTCTAAATTGGACAGCCTCAGCTGCAGCAAACTGTGGGTAGCAAAACATTCAATGGCTGCAAGGAAACTACATTATCTTGTCACCTCTTGTCAACTCAACAAATCAGAAAATTACCAGTAACAGATAAATAATGTTAGCTGAACACTAGCAAGTTGTTACAACTAGCAAACTATAGCACCTACCAATCTGACCATTAGTTATACATAAATAACAAATACAATCGTGACAGCAAAACTACCCAAACCAGTGTATTAGCTATTTATAGCCATTTTATTTACAACTTGCCACAATAAGTGCGCAGCAACAAACCTACTTAAACTAACCAGCTATAAGTAGGCTTGTTGCTGAGAACTATACAATGAGTCAATAAGATATCTTGTTAGCTTACTGGCCTGTTTAATGACAGTTGTTGATGAGCTAACTTAAATTTCTTCTTCGATATCTAGCCAGTTAACCTATTTAGCTCAATGATAAACACAAACACTGACTTCTTCGTTGCAGTCAGCTTAATTATGACTTGAAACTGAGAAAATGATGTCATGCTGCACATTTCAAAAGTAGGAAATGTCAGTGTCTCCAGTCTTTGTTCCTATTATTTTTTTTATTAATGGGTTTATTTTTTATTATGTTTCATGCTTTATTTTTTAAAGATATTTTGATTTGTTCTTTTGCCTAATATGTGTTTGGATGTCAAAGTTGCTACGGTTCTGGACTGGGCTATTAATAATGTACGCATTGATATTGTGTATTTTTTTTCCAAACTGTGTAAAGTTATATTCTATGTAATATAGTATTTTTCTATGACAGTATGCTCTTCCAAAACATAGGAAGAAAATACAAAATGAAAAATAAAATGTATAACTTTGTTGTTGTCATTTTGATTTGTTTGTTTGTTTGTTTGTTTGTTTCATTTTCTAAGAAACAAAGAGTGTACTGCTATACTTCTCTTTTTGAGAAAAGAAAAGATTGCAAAGAAAAAAAAATAAAATGTCTAATTTTATGTTGGATGTGTGGATTGTCTTTATTTTGGTAAATCTTTGTGACCAATGGAAAACAATGGACATTCATGCACATAAGAGATTATCTTTGGCCAGGATAAGCTCCTTAAATCAAACCTTTATATGCAAAAATTTTCTATCCAGGGAATTTGAACAAGACCTCATTTTACAACTAAAGAGATCAGATTTAATTCTGGTTCTTCACCCCAAAGCAAACTTGCAGTGGAGGTAATGCTTCCTAGAGAAGCACAAAATGGAGCAGAGTAATCACATTTCTACCACCTACACTGGGGGTGCTCAGGCTGGGGACTCAGTCGTCCTACTGGGAGACAGAAATTTGAAATAAATTTGCAAGCATTTCAAGCATAAGTGTTTCACTTCACATCTTTATGGGGGTATTGTGTGTAGAATCTTGAGGTGAAAAATTAATTTAATCCACAATGTAATAAGGCTGTAACATGACAAAATGTGAAATAAGTAAACGTCCCCCAATGTGAAACTGGACAGCCTTTCATGATACTCTATGTTTTACTGTTTTTCTGAGCACATAATCTTGTGTTATTAGATCCCTTATCTAAGAGATTGAATTAATGGTTATACTGCCCAAAAGAATGGACTTGATCCTGGAAGTAGACCACCCTATACGATTTATATGCCTTCATCAGTTCGATTACAGGTAATTCATTGGGCTCACACTACTAAGTTCACTTGTTATCCCAGGTGTAACCACACAATTACTTTCCTCTGAACATTTTTTTAGTGGACAGGCCTAGTCAGGGATGTGTAACAACATGTGTCTGTCCCTACTCTGTGCTTAAAACACAGACTTTCCGTTCTCTATCAGCTCATTTACATAGATCCTTAGCTGGACATCCATGATCTCAAATTGTATTGGATTTTTATCACCTATCTGTAACCATAAACAGGTAACACAACCATCCCAACTTTAATCAATTGTTTTTCCAGGGCTTTTCATTTTATAGCCCTGCCCATGCTGCCTTCAGCCTTGTGCTCAGTCTCCATGGCATTCCACTGGACGTTGTCTGACCAGGGTACACAATTCACCTCAATTCACCTCCAGCTTCTACTTCTCTTCTATCTCCAGACTTAAACAAAAACTGAAAGGACCAATTAGGAGTTGGAGGCAACCCACAATATACTGTTTCATCTAATTAAACAACCTGGAGCTCAAAACTGTCTTGGGTGGAATACACCCATAATTCCATGATCTTCATGGCACCTATCATTAATCCTATGATTGTACATCTAAGACGTCCCAGAAACCCGATGATTAAAAACTCATTTGATGTTTCCCAGCTAGAAATTTTTTGTTCCAGTCCTGTGGGAGACCCTTCCTGTTTCCTCTGTGTTTTTAACTGTTTTTGAATCTGTTTTGTCCTGAACTTACGTCACTCTCTTAGATACTTTTTGCCCTTAGTTTCTAAAAGAGACATTGGTGATGAGACAGCTGTGGAGCTTAGTGTTTGAAGAAATCACCTGCCTGGCCCTGTCACTGACCCCACTCTAGAATCTCACAGTTTCAAATTGTAAAACTTTTTGATTTCAATATACCTTTTCAGCTTTTAGTACTGTCTCCAGCGCCTCGATCCTGGTTTGGTTCCTTGAGACATGCATATGGATTTTTTGAAAGGCTTGTTTCTGTTTTTAGCAAAAAGACATGTATTAGAACCAGTTTATGTCTGTACTTCTATTTTGAAAACTCTGTACATTTTTACTCTAACAAACAACATGAGTATTTTTGCACATGCAAGAGTGTTTTCTACTGTACATTTTGCTTTTGCTGACGGAATTATTCCCATGAGTCTACTGTTATGTAACAGATCTAACACACAACATGCACAAAAAGTGTTAGCATACACACAGTCAGGCACACACATTATTGCTTACATAGTAAGCAATAACATATGGGTAGAACTTTAGTGCCCAGTGCACACTTTGTTATATCCACATGTGCTTAAACATTCAAAAGCAGTGGTGGAAAATAGCTTAAAGCTGAGGACATAAAACATATAAGGAGTAAGCAAACGACGTGTGATGACTGAAGTTCCATATCTGTAAGTTTTGTATTACAGTGAAAAAACAATATTGGAGTAGTTTTCCTCCAGCATGCAGGTCACAAATCTTGATTATACAAAGATAGGCTATGGAAAAGTACATAAGATGTGCCCTTGTCCCTTTCAAGTGACCACAACATCCTGGGATCAAAACTGTCCTCATTTGATTTTTTTTCTCATCCCTCAGAGCCCTTCCATTTCCTGTTCCCTTCTATTTTTGTTAGCAGAACAAAAGGCAAAAGTAACATGAAACACTAATCAAAAAAACACATTTGTTTTTGCTTTGTGTCAATGCCAAAAAACTGCCTTGAAGATAAAACTGAAAAAAAAGAGAAAAAAAAGATTCTCAACAGAAAAGTCTATTCTTGGAAAAGGCCAGACAGGGAATGGAAATAACAGCTCTGTGTTTCTTTGTCTGAAGTGCCAATTATTTAAAGCTCAGCAACAAAACAAAAGCATTAACATTCATGTCGCTGTACAGCAGTTTCATGCCACCAACATCTTCTATGTTTTTGTTGAGTCATATGAGAGCAATAACCATAATCGGCATGGATATATCTCCATGATACATTCCTGGTCAAAATTATCACTAAATGTAAAATGAGGAAGGATCCATGACTGTTCCTGATTCAAACAGTGCCTGAAAGAGCTTTCTGTGTTTTCTGATTGCTGAAGCTTAAATGGGATACACAAACCAGTATTTTATAAAGCTTTTATGTAAATATTTTCATGGGAATAGTTAGTTGATTAAATAAAAAAAGGCCCATTTAACCATAGTGATTGACGGAAAATTACAGTCTGGGAAAAATGTGTTCAGTACCCAGCTTCTATTAATCACCGGGATGTCTGAGCCTTTACCCTCTTACTGTGAAACGGATGTTTGGGTCAAAATATTCCATAAACTGAGGTTGATTCTAGCAGATTCTCAGAGCTGCTTAGTGCCATTGTTTAGAAACAAGCTTCAGTTTAGGAGGGCTTTGTTTTTGTCCCTGATGTTTTTCATTTTTCTTTTCCTTGGTTTTAGTAGTTAAGCGCTTAGATTTTTTTTTCTTTTTAGGTAAGTATAAACTGGATTAAGCATTTTCAGCAGGTTGCCTCTGTGAAGCCAACAAAAGCTTAAATATGTTTGTTATGGATGAAAATAAAGTTGCTGACACAGTCTGCCAGGTCTGCAAACGATAGGAGTATTTCCCACAAACCACTACTGTAAATACAGGGTGGGCCATTTATATGGATACACCGTAATAAAATGGGAATGGTTGGTGATATTAAAGTCCTGTTTGTGGCACATTAATATACTCCTCAAGATGGGTGGTGACTCACCACCCATCTTGAGGAGTTTGAAATGCAATGAAGGCTAAATGAATGAAAATGGAATATCTGGTGGCCACCAGACTTTCACACTCCATGGTAACAATTAGCCAAACATTAATCTTGCATTACCTGTGCAATGATTAAGAAGCACCTCACCTTCACCTTATTAGACACACATTCATTCAAAAATGAATACACAGAAGGAGAGTGATACATTTTTAAGCTTAGAATTTCTTTTCTTAAAAACATGCACGCAAGCAAATACAACAATCATACAAACACGTGTATTTATAACAAGTGAATAACATAACATAACAAGTACATATGCATTTGTAGATTAAAAAAATAACAAACCCAAAAAACAAGCACACAACGGAGCCGCCACGTTTGCAAGAGATTGTGCCATGAGAGTTTCTGCATGGTGGACTCTGAAGGTCACACAGTCTGCGGCAGATTGTGTGACCTTAAACTTCTGCACTCAATGTTTAAGTCTGCTTGTCCATCCTACTTATGACTGACTGTGTTTTATCAGATTGGGTGGAAACCAAGAGAGAAACTGGGTCTTCTTTTGATCCAGTCCAACTAACTGAAGCTGCCAACACGTTTGTTTCTGTTTTGGAAGAAACATGTTTTGAATTTCACCACATCAGCTAACAAAAGTTGCTGATCCATGCTTATAGAGGCCTTCACTTGTGAGGTCGGTTTAGTTAACTCTACTAGTGAGTTTCCACAGTCCTTTTAATCTCCATGGATTTATATGACACGATTACATGTCACTAACATTGTAAATTCCATCTACTGTAGTTTCCTCTGTCTACTCTATCTTCCTGTACCTTTCTGTGGATTGTATCTATAGAGTTGGAGGTTTCAATCTGTGGCTACTTTTCTCACTAACCTGCCTTTTCAATCTTCTTAATTTCCACCTTGGACTTCAACTCAATCCAAATGGTTGGGGCTTATGGATTCAGATGCCTGAATCTGGATCTGTTAAAGGTCATTTTGTGTTAGAAATATTTTTCTGACCTTATAAAGAGCTTTCCATTGTTTTCTCTCTATAATGTCCGAGTCATAGTTATACAAAATGAGGGAAGTTTATGCAATTTGTTCAAAAAGGTTTATTTAGCAAAAAGAAAGAAAGAAAGTGGAAGGAAGAGGAAAGTGGAGGATCTGGCTACCACAACTAACAATGAAGGAGAGTCTAGCTTGGTGTCCTCTTCAACATTAAAAGCTTATGCTGACTAAACAAATACAATTTTCTATTGACAGTAAGCCAAATCTCTAAGATGACCCGAGTCTTCTAACCAGACTTCTGCAGGGTTAGGCTCGCCCAGAGCATTGTCATGCAACCCAAATGATTACTTTCACACATTTAAGGCTCATAGGAAGCACTGAATGTGCTGGTATGCTGCCCCCTCATTGGTTTGAATACCTTAAAGCTTGTATTACAGGCTTTGAGGGATTAGAGTTTGTGTCGTCAGGAGGATTTAGGTACATAAGTCCCACTGGTTGGGTAATTGAACTTAAATGGAACAAACTGTGGATGTGTGTGCATAAAAATACCACTCTAGACACATGGAACTCAGACTTCATTTTCTGAAGACATTTTTTTTTTT